ACACAAAATACACAGTTGTGTTCTAGGGAGTCGTTTGCATGGTCGACGTGCAGCTCTAATGCGGATCCCTCCCAAGGCCATTAAGCCTCTCCTAATTACACTTTATCTTGTTCAGTGGGCCTGCTGTCTACAAGCAGCAGTAGGGCTCAAGGGACATTTTGGCTAAAATGAGGTCTATTTGCAATGGTTAAGCTCATTTAGCATATACAGTACTGTGCAACAGTCTCAGACCACCCTTCATATATACATTTTGGAAAAGGGGGAAATGGGTGGAACAAGTTCTTGAATTGAATTGAAATACATATAAAAATATATGGAAATACAGTACCTAAGGCAAAAACAGAGTTTGTACATTTCTAATGAGCTTGAAAGTCAATATTTGGTACCACCACCTTTATTTTTCAACACTGCCTGAATTCTCTCTGGGAAATTTTTGGTAGTCTTCAGGAATAGTTCTTCAGGCTAAGACAAAGCTCTTCTTTGCATGCTGGCCCCCTTTAAATGATCCCGCACTGCTTCAGTGCTGTTGAGGTCCGGGCTCTGGGGAGGCCGATCCATGACTGATGGTGTTCCACTGTGTTTTTTTTCTATCTAGGCATGCTTTTACTGCATTGGCAGTATGTTTGGATCATTGTAATGCGGAACAAGGCAGCAAATGCTTTTCAGGTAGAATTTAATGGTGGATAAAAACCTGGTGGTACTTTTACACATGAAAAATCGTTTTGACAGATCTCCAACACCACTGGCTGAAATTCAGCTCCAAACCATGACAGAGCCTCCTCCTTATATACTGATATCAACCAAAAATTTTACACTTGAATTCATCACTCATCAGTGCAGTTCTTGTGTAGTTCTGCATACCTTAGCCTTTTCTCCATTTTTCCTTCCTTAAGAATGACTACTTTACAGCCACGTCTCCACTGAGACCATTTCTGTTGAGGGCTTTAAAATAAAAATAAAAATCTGTTAGTACCGATAGTGAGGTGTGTGTTCACTAAAACATGTTGATACTTGCAGTTAAAGGCTGAATTAGGTTGACTCTTACCCAGTTACCAGACATAATGTCAGCTGCCCTAACCTAACAATATTTTAGTTATCATGTGACATTTGTACAAAAACAGACAGATCCCCCTTGGGAATGGCATTTCCGGGTGAGTTCTTTTGATTAAAATGAGTGGGAACTTCCATGTCTCCCTCTGTATATTTGTGTTGTCGTGTTTGTATATGTGACTGTGTGCATCTCTTTTCAACTGCTTCTCTGTCTGTCCCGGCACAACTGCTGACTGTAACCCGGTGCCAAGATAAAGATCAGGATAAAAACTACCCATAATCGTACCCAGTTTGATGTTTTTAAGAAGTGGGGGGTCAGGAATTAGAGCTTTAAATATTTCATTTACAAGGTCACTTAGAACTAGGACTTATCAATTTAGTTAGATAATAAAGATGCATATATCAGTGACCATGTCACAGTTTTCTAGAAAGAATGCAATGATAGCGTTAGCTGTTTTACTGATCCAGATACAGTATTATTTATTATTATTATTATTATTATTATTATTATGTCCATAAATGCATTAACCCAAATGCAGAACAATAAAATCTAAACTATGTAAAAGTAGCTTTTTTCAGCAGCTATCATTTAAATGAACAAAATGTAGATGATGTTGAAGAGGCTCTGTGTTTTCTGTGTTGTCTTGAAAAATGTGCATGTGAGGATGGATGACTCATCCACTGCAAACCAAATCTACCTACAGGTACAAATAAAGTATCCTGAACCTGAATCTAAGAGGAACTGGGCATGTGCTTTCAGCTTCATGCCAAAGATTCTCTAGAACAAGCTAAAAAAAGACCTTGAATTACATTCAAACCACTCAACACATGCCTTTGAATGTGCACCATCTTTCGCCAAGCAACTGAAGGTCTTATTTTTCTGAAGACAATTACATACCAGTGTGCCACACTTCTTTCTAGCACACATTCATTGCAACAATGCAATGTGGGACTTGTGACCAGTGATGGTACATTTGCTCCTTTCACTGGACCTGATGTATTGTCGGCTCACAAAACCAGGGTGTGACAACCCAGCCAGAGGTAGAGAACAATATGGATTAAAATATTCTGGCAGTTTAGTATCATATCTTATCATTGTTACGGAGTACAGTGGTCCCTCGTTTATTGCGCGAGTTACATTCCAATGACAACCTGTGATAGGTGAAATCCGCGAAGTAGCCAACTTTATTTTTCTTTTTACAATTATTATAAATGTTTTAAGGCTGTAAAAACCCTCACTGCACACGTTATACACTTTTCTCAGACAGGCATGAACATTTTCACACTTTTCTCTCTTATTTAAACACTCTCAAAGTTCAAACCGTAGAAAAATAAGTCCAGTATTATGGAATGAAACCAAAGATCAAACCCTGTTTTCAGGTCCAGAACATGGGAATAGAGCAGCTGGAGAGAATTCAACATTAATGAATCATGGTATGGAAGTAGAGGAAGCAAGAAGAATGAGTTGAGTAAAGTTTGACTTTTCTGACTGTTTTGTTTTACTTAATGCACCTTATAATCCGGCTTGCCTTACAGTCCGAAAAATACGGTAACTTCTACCTTCCTTTAGCATGTCCAGAAGTCCAACTGCCTGTGCTATGGTTAGCATTGTCCTCTGCCTTTTGGATGCTACCATAGATGCCTTTGACCGTGCAAAACGTTTCGTCAACATTCTTGTGTTTGTTGGGGATAAAACATACAGTACAGCACTTCAGAATCACACTGCTAGAGATCGAAGATTTATGTAAATTTGACAAGTTGAAAGCATTCTGTACAGTACAGGAGACACGGCACGAGATTGACTGACAATGGTGTGCAGCCAATCAGGACGTAGAACACAATGTGCTTTAAAAAAAAAAAGCATGCAAAAAAAATATCTGCGAAACAGCGAGGCCGTGAAAAGTGAACCATGTTATAGCGAGGGACCGCTGTACGAACAAACAAGTATTTTTTAAAACAAAGATTTTTCTGTATTTTTTTTCTGTTGTTTTTTTTTGTTTGTTTGTTTTTTAAATATCTCCCATCCACATGAAAATGTCAGAAAACAACCTCGTGTGCTGTCAAGGGCATGGCAGAGTAGCATGTGACAACAGCTCATTGTGTAGAGATGTCAGCCAATGAAAATCCTATAAATAGTAACACAGAGCACCATCTGACATCAGGAAAGGAGACGCAGGTGCACACTTTTGCCCCTTTCCTTGCTCACCTGTAAATGGAGGAGTTAAAAATCTAAATCTAAATTTTTATCAAAAGCTCAGTTTTCAGTGGTGTGAAATGGTTTTTACATGTAGATAAAAGCATCAACATACACACACAAAATTGCATCCATATTCACATGTCTGCATACCTGTGGACATGTCCTTGTTTCAAAAACAGAAATGTGCAATTTGACCAAAAATCCAGATTTAAGACCGTGAGCTTATAATTATTATTTCATTTAACCACTGTGGTCCTTTCTGCTTCTTTCTGGCATCAAAACACCTGTTTCAAAATGATCACCTTGTTATCATATGATGCTGCAGGTAGAGCAGGTCATCTGCTAGTTGAAAGACTGATGGTTCAATCCCTGGCTGCTCCAGTCCACATACCAAATATCCTTGGGCAAGATACTGAACCCTGAGTTGAGTAGTGTGTATTGAGGAGTATGATTGTTAGATGGAAAGCACTTAGGCATACAAAAAAGTGCTTGTATGATGGGTGAATGAGGCATGTTGTATACAGTGCAGTGAGTGCTCCAGTATGGTAGAAAAGCACAATATAAAAAACCTTCATTCAATCAGGTCATGTTTTAAGAGCACTGAATTATTGGATATATATAACAGGAGCTCATACTAACTCACAAGAAATGGGTGTTTTATTGGAGGAAAGAATGTGACTCTGAATAGTCACAATATTCAAATGACAAAGTTGCCATTTGGATTTTACCTTCAAATGGCAACTTTGCTCATAAGAATATTAAAAATTATATTTTTTTTAATGTAGTTGAGAATAGAGAAACATTGAAATGCGATGAATTTAAATTACTTCATTACTTTCTGGATTAATACAATTTTACTAAAAGAAGTGAAATTTGTTACTGAACGAAGATGACTGTTATTAAAATTTTTTTAACTGTTATCTGTAATGTTACTCAATTTGTTTGTTTTTTTGTATTTGAGAAGAAAAAGTCAGTACTAACAGTCAATTAGTTAAATGTTAGGGTTACTTTGAGGTTTTTTTTTTAATGTTAATAATTCATTGTGGCAACATACCTGTTGATGATAATTAAGATGTTAACATGCAATTCATTCCCTGTATGAATTGCAGGTGTATCCAGTTTTTGGTTTTATTTAGTAGTTCATTAATATAGCGATGTGCTGTTCATAGTCGTTGTATGAAACAGTGAAAAGGCACCATCCTCCTCTTTAGAAATATCAAAAATCCAATAATACCTATCTTGTTATTTATATTTTAAGTATAATTTAGTTTTTAGTAAAAATGCCATTTTCAGGGGGTTCTCAAGTTATACTTTGTAATATTTTGAAACCATTTTTTTCAACAACTGGATTTACGTTTTGTCTCAGGAAACGTTCACACCTGATTTTTAGTATTCCGTCCGCAGATTCATCATTTTCAAATGTATGAGTGAGACAAAAAAGGCACGCAATGGTTAGCTTCAAAGGCATTTATTTTGAAAACACCGGACGGAAATCCCTGTTATGTGCCGTTGCTTCTCCGCGCTCCCGCGTTGTTTTGGGAACATTCGGTTTCACAGTGAGCACGCGCTTCCCGGACCGTAGCTGCCCGTCATCGCTGGCGCTGACATCACACGGAGGATTTGCTACAATGTCAAACACTCAC